CAGTATTTTTGTTAATTTGTGTGGGTTTTGTTTGTTTTTTGGTTTTGTCTTTAAAGATTCCTAACATTGCAAAGAAGCTTGAAGATTTTAAGAAGGATGTGGAAGCTAAGAAGAAACCTCCCAGCGACAAGTCCTAAGAGAGCAATGTTACCCAAGTCATCTCTGTGCATGCATCAAGGATGCAATTTACCTTTCAGGCAACAAAGATCAAGTAGAGGGTTGGCATGGGAGATTCCTCCACTTTTAGTCTCTTAGAACTGGAATGTCATTCTTTTGAAAGAGCAGCCGTGAACTTTTCCTGGGACTGATTTTCAAGGGTTTCAGAATTTGGATTTGCAGCTGATATGTGACTGGATAAGATCGTTTGTATTTTTTGTTATTGCTTTTCCTAATATTTTGTAACCCATTTTTACCTGATCCAACTGGAGTCCTGTTAATCCTGTTACTATGCGTACCTCACACTTTGTAATACCCTAGTTCTTAGAACATCGCCAGAAAAATTAAATGCATCAAGTAGTAACTTTCAGGGTTTCTTGTCATTTGTTGTGAGGAGCAGTACTTCACTGTCCTTAAGATCCGCGTTCTGTTATTGGAGATGGAAAGTTCATTTGTCAAACTATGAACCTGGAGGGAAGGGGGGAGCTCCTGCTTTTTCCATTATGTTAAATGATCACTTTCAGCAGTGTAGACTTTGCACAAACATGGCTGATTTCAAAAAGTGTAAAAGGCCATCAACTTTAACCTACGTTTCAAATTCATTGTTTCTTCTATTATTGCCTCTTCCTCTTCTTTCCCTTCTGCTTGGTTGTTTGAGGATGTCTCTGGAGTGATGGGGAGGATGGGAGAGAGAAGAGTTATCTTCCATAAGTTGTAATCAGGGCACGTGGAGGTCAGCAGTTACATTGTGAATCCAAACCGTTCACTCTATGTACTTAATGGTCCAGTTTGTGTAATTGTTCTAAGTACACTTTTTTTACTGCCTCTTGGTGTGGAACAAGGATTAGAGCTCAGGGTTTATATCAGATATGTCTGGTATTCCCATTACTTCCTCATTCCTGTGCGTGATCTTCAGCCCATTGCCTTTGCATTTGATTCAGTTGTCTACCATGTATTTTCTTAGGGTAAGAACCATTTATCTGCTGTCACCCTTACTGTTTATCTGGTATGCTCCTCTTCACCCATTGCTGCCACTAAAAACCCTGGTGTGTGAGAAAATACACATTGTATTGTAGCACTGTCTTCTGTTTGAATGGAAAGCAAAGTCTGCATTTGGAAACTATAGTTTTGCACAAATTCTGTTGTAAATTCTGAAGAAAATATCCCAGTAATTTGCTGAATTAATAAAACTTACATCTATTCAATCTATCAAATAAAATTAATTTAATTTTTTTTTCTGTAAAATAGAACAGTCCTATCAACTCTGTAAGGTGGCTTAAATCACTGAGTCCCCTTGACAGTCTTTTGCAGGATGTGAAGGACAAAGAAAAGTACCAGAAAGATATTCTCCTTGCTTTTATTAACAATGCCTGGTGATGGACCTCTACGGACAAGTAGGAGGAACAAGGGCAGTGAATGACCTCCTTCACTCCTTCCGGCTCTTGATTAAAGCATACCTAGAGTGCTTCTCCCTTAGTGTTTTAGTTAGGATAAGGACTGTGCCTTCAAAGTGAGTTGTCCTTTTACCACATTTTCATTCTCATCGTGGGAAAACTGTAGAGCACGTGGACTGGATTCCTTTCAGAAGAGACTAAACCAGAAGATGTGCTTTGATCTCTAATGGGTGTTTAGTCCATGAGACAGGCCTTGAGACATTCAGAGGGAAAATACCGCAAGCTTTGGGTACTAACTGTTTTGCTCTGTAGACCCAGTGGACTGTGCTGTTTGAGGTAAACATAGCATGAAAGCTTTTAAGTACAGGTCTCCCCATGTACCTGCTGTAATTTTCACCCTCTCCCCCAAAGCCTTTAACTCAGACATATCTGGGTGGATTCCAAGCTCAGGAGTTTTCACTAAATCAGCAAAGCCACATTTAAAGATTACCTTATGCCAAACTTTGGCTTCCTTTTCCGAAGTTTGGTGATGGCAGAGTTCTTCCACAATGCAGTCCTACAATTGAGGAAAGTATTTCTCATCTAAAGATTCTCCTTCTTAAAGAATATATATATTTATATTTAAATGAGAAATATTTCACCTGTAATTTCCCATCCTCCCTTTCACCATCTGCCCTGAAATGTGTAGCTTACAGAAAAGCTTTCAGCCTTTGCTAATAAATATTTGGCAAGTTTAAAAGCCACTTCAAGTCAGACAATCTTAGTAGCTATACTACCAACTCTTCCTATAGTAAACACTCAAAAAACACAAACTGGGAGAAATAATTTTGACCACCTAGCATTAGTGATCAGAAACCTTATGGTAGCGGTATGTGTTGAAGATGCCAAGAATGTGCTTGGTGAAGGGAGGTCACAAATAAAGTACAGCCATGTTTAGCTATTACTGAGGTAGTAGTGTATGCTCTGGTCTTTGAAAGGGGCTTCCGTTGGCTTTTACAGAGTTCAGACCAGACTGAAGGAACTGTCTTCCGCACACAAAAACTCTTCCGTAGAGTGAGACAGCACCGCACAACTGTTTTAATGCTTTCATGAATGTGATGAACTTAGTTTTCCTCAGCTTCCCTTTCTTTTTTTGTTTCCCCTGTTCGTTCTTTCCTATTCTTGAGCAAAGTATTGAAAAATACTGGCTCTAACCCATTCATATTTCTTTGCTTGTCATACAAAATTATGTTAGTGTTTAAAATTGGATTATTTCTTTCCTCAAACATGCTTTATGTTCTTCCCTTTCTTTACATGGAGATGAGAAGGTAAATAAAATTCAAAATCTCCATATTTGTTGCCAAACAGGCCTGTGTTACTCTAAAAGTATAATTTGGAGCTGAAACTGTCAGCTGAGCATTCCAAGTAGATGTTAGAATATTTTTTTTCCTATCAGATCATGAAGTGGACCAGCCACAGCTGTAGTGCTGTAGAAACAATATATGCTCAGTAATATTAAAGACAGGACTTCAAACACTGTTTGCAACAATTTCCATTTTAGCTTAAGCTGTCTTTTTTGTCCCACACAGTAACCTAAAGAGCTGGATAACATTATAACACAGTTCTTGTTGACTTTGCAACTACTGTATAACACATTTTGCCTAACTGATTCAGCCTGAGACTATCCTAGATGATACTAGAAGTTAACCTTGTATTTCAGAGGGCAGGAAGTCCGCACGGATGATGACTGCTTGATGCAGATCTTGCATCTGACGGCTCAGAGGGGCTTTGGATGCGGTGATGTCATAGGAGGTCACACAGGATGAATGCACCTTCAAGATACCTAGGAACAAGTTTCCCACTTAATATGGGTACTGTGAATTTCTGCATGTTCAAAATGCCTATGTGGATAGGTGGAATTGCCAGCTAAAACATGCAGTCTTCCTTCCTTTGGTAAAAGCTCTTAGGATAAATGCATTTGTATCCATTTTCATGTATTGATTCTTTTGAGACATGTTGTAGGAGCTGAAGGTTCAAGACAAAAGGGGAGGAAAGGAGTATATGAGCTACTAACAGACTTCTAAAATATTTACTGTGGATTGAGACTGTTATCTTGTGATGGAAAATGCTGCCCTAATGCTTTTGTAGACCATCTTCCATTGAACACAGTGAAGAGTTAATACTGAAAATACACGAAATGCCAGAAATGCTAATTATTAGCTTACTGGGCACCAGTGCTCGAATACAGATGGTGGATTTAGTCACAGAACTTCACTAACATGAATGCTCAGTGGTGCCATTTTATGTCACAGAACCACAGCCCTTTATCTCATGATGTGTGCTTCATCCCTTGATCTTCGTGGCCCTTGGGTAGGACTCGCTCCAGTACGCCCATGTGCGTGTTGTTCTGGGGAGCCCAGAACTGGACGTAGCAGTTCAGATGTGTTTCACCAGGGCTAAGAAAAGGGGAAGGATCACCTCCTCCCTCAGCCTGTGGAGGATGCTCTGCCTAATGCAGCTCAGGGTGCTGTTGGCCTTCTTTGTCTCAAGGGCACATTGCTGACTCATGTTCAACTTGTCTACCAGGACCCCGAGGTCCTTTTCTATAAAGCTGCTTTCCAGCTAGTCGGCTCCAGCTTGTACTGGTGTGTGGGATTATTCCCCCCCAAATAAGGGACTTTGCATCTCCCTTTGTTGAACTTCATGAGATTCATGTCCATCCACTTCTCTGGCCTGTGAAGGTCCTTCTGAATGACAGCACAGCCATCTTGTCCATCAACTTCTCCTCCCAATTCCGTATTGTCTACAAACTTCCTAAGGGTGCACTCTGTTCTATTGTCCAGGCCATTAATAAATATGCTAGTGTTCAATAATTCAATATTGGCCCTGGTATTTTGCCCTGGGGTATACCACTAGAGACTGGCCTCCAGCTGGACCTTGTGGTGCTGACTGCAACCCTTTAAGCCCAGCACTTCAGCCAGTTTTCAATCCACCTTACCGTTCACTTATCTAGTCCATGCTTCCTCAATTTGTCTGTGAGGTTGTTGTAGAAGGCCATGTCAAAAGCCTTGCCAAACAACATACATTGATCTCCCCTCATCCACCAAGCTAGTCATTTTGTTGTACAAATGCCGGGCTGGACAGGCATCATTTCCCCTTCATTAAATCATGCTGATTATTCCCAATCATTTTCTTGTCCTTCATATGTTGGGAAACAGCTTCCAGGAGGATTTGCTCCATCACCTTCCCAAGGATCGATGTGGGACTGACCAGCCTGTAGTTCCCCAAATCTTCCTTTTTGAAGATAGGAGTGACATTTGCTTTCTTCCAGTCCTCAGGGGCCTCCCTGGATCACCACAACCTTTCAAAGACAATAGAGAGTGGCCTCACAATGACATCGGCCAGCTTCCTCAGCATTTCTTTAGATTTCCTTTTGCAGCTGGTGTGCCTATATAGGCCCTTGACTCCCAATTTTGTAACAAGAAGGGCCTCTATAGACCTCCCAGGTGAGGCTGGCCATGGCCATTAAGACACTGAGGGCCCTGGCATTGGCTTTCCTAACTCCATCCGAGTCAATTAAATCACTAGTACCTCCAGCCGCCTTCTGTAAAAATGGGTTATACTGCAGAGGAATTACTCAAGGACAGGGAATAGTTTAATGAAGCCAACTCTTTTTTTTTTATGTTTTTACGTTAGGTAGCATCATCTACATCAGAAACTTTTATTATGAATTCAGGTAAAGATACGTAACTCCTGTTAATGTAGGGTATCACTCTTCACAGTGATTTCTGATGAGTAAAGTAACATAGTGGTGATCTGGCAGCATAGAATATTTCTCAGTGGTGATGCTGCAGGGAGTTGTGGTACCACTCAAAAAATTTATTGCCTTTGTGAAGGCAGAATTTTTCAACTGCGGTTCTCCTTTGTGGTTCGCCTTTGTCCTGTGGTGCTGGCAGCTGTGTGCACCACCAGTTGTTACAACTCCTCTATGTGTGCTTTCTTGGAGAGATTTCTTATACATGCTGAGCATCTGGAAATGTGCTTTGAAGGGCCCAGACTACAGTTGGCCCAGATTACAGATGGCCCTTAGACTACTGATGAAATTGAAATGTTGGAAAGGAAGAAATTGTAATTTTCAAAATTAATAATGAGTTGGTTTCATAAGCCTAGATTATATCTGTGTTGGCAGAAACATGCTTGTGAATTGGTATTCGTATGTAAAAATCAATATCCGCTGTATGTGATGCAGAATTATTTTTAATATTAGGAAGTGATGGTGGATATCGGAGTGCATATGTTGCTGGTAAACTCCATAGGGAAATTTCCTGTACAGCTCTTTTTATTTTTGCCTCAGAGGGAGAAGAAAGAGATACTTAGTTCTATTTCTTACACTTCTTGGTGGTATATGCTAACCTTTACTTTACAAAGTCCCAAGCCAAGGTAATTTTTACTGAATTTTACTGAGATAAGATGGCTGTGGAGGTTATTTGCTTTTTCACCTGAAACATATGTTAATCACAGATGGTCAAATTTACTTTCTTCCCACCAAAGTCAGTTCTGGCTTTAGTCGTTAACACATCTGGAAAATACCTAAATACCCCATTCCTGTAAATCACCAACTCAAACCATAACTTCACTAGTAACTTTCCTACCCTGTGAGCCCAAATGCTGGCGTGGAACATACTGTTGGTTTTCTGTGTGAAAAGAGGGATTCTGCAACCTTTCATCACGCTGATTAAAGCCCTTCTCTGACAACTGCACCTTTGGGTTCAAAGAGGCAACCCAAGTAGGAAGATACTAATCACTGCATGAAAAAAAAATATAAGGGCCTGTTTTAAATTCTATTATTCACATTTTCTGCAAACCAGAGAGAATTGAACAACCTGTGTACAAGTATTAAGTACAGCTATCACGCTCTGCTTTTTTTTCCTGAGAAATAAAGCATTACTCTGTCAGCTACAGAATGAGGAATTGCTCAGTATAAATCACCTCAGTTTACTTCAGTGAAATTGTTCAGGTTTTATATCACTGTGAAAAAAATATATATGTAGCCTTAATAGGATTCTAGTAAAAGGTAATATAAAACTGTAAGATAAAATAGTATACTGCTAGTAGTTAATGTGATTATGCTTTTTGGATAGGAATCTTAAATTCTGGGCTGAAAGCAGAACTTTTGAGGTCTTTATGTATGTGCTGAATGTTGAAAGCATCTGGAAATCACTTAATTTGAAATCAGGCTTATCTCCCCTCTGAAGAAAAGATTTCAGCTTTGGTTATTGGTAGAGACAAATCTGAAATTGAGTGACAGTATGCTATACATTACCAGTGAAAATTTCCCACTTCTTTGTCCACTTGCCATGTATTTTAATAAAAAAAAGCAGCGATCAGCACCCATTGCTGTCACACTATGAGCCATGCAGCTTGCCCAACCCTAAGCTTGTTGTTCATCTGCTGCTATTTTCCTTTGTGATATTCAGATTCTGCCACTAAATACTTTCTCATGTACTTTCTTATGTCTTCAGTGAAATGAAAGGAATCATACGTGTACGTCTAAGGGCAGAATCTGGCTGTGGTGCATGCATTGACTGATCTGATATGGGAAAAAGGGCCAGTACAGCACACTGCCTTCCTGCAAATGCCTGGTGGGAGATGGCAGTGACAAGTGCCAGCAGCTGTGGACATGGAAGTGTGCTGAAAGCACTGATACAGAAGGGAAGACTGCTGGGGAAACTCCTTGCCTGGGTCCACTCCAAATTTCTCTGCACCAGTCTCGTGAGACACAAACTATGCCAGAGACTCATGGCAATGTTTCTGAAGAAATATTGCTTGAGATGTGCAACACAGCACCAAATTTACCTGGTGCTATTGGTGTTATTACCAAAGAGTGTTGGTGGCCACCCTGTTTGATTTGTGAGTAATCCTAGATCTCCCTAAAGCTAATTGGCATGCCAGATGCTCGTCTCTCTTGCAAATGAGAATATCCCATGTTCATATCCCCTGGGAAAGGTGTGGGATAGCAAGGCCTGATGGGAGCTGAGCTGAGCTGAGAAATAAGAATTAGGAGGGTGGAGAGTGATTTGTTGCTGAGCAGCTATGCAATTTGAAGGTGGTGGTGGATGAAGTGTGAAGTGAAAAGGATTAGAAGATGAGCGCACAGTAAAAGGCACAGAGCGACTAAAGCCTTGGGAAGAGAGCAAGCCAGAAAGAGAGTTTCTTGGCAGGGGGAGAATGATTGAAAGTAACTTTGGGGACTGTGAACAAAGAGATGTCCTGCTTGTGCATGGGGACAGGACCCTTGGTACTGCAGACACCCCCACCCACTGAAGTGCTTGTTCCTCGAGAAAGTTGCCCATCTTGGTGGACAGGCGTTGCAGCCTCTGTCTCCTGCTTCAGCGGCTTTGGTGCTGGGTGCAGCTTGCTAGGGGACTGCAGCTTGTGCTGGGAGGGAGGCTGGGGTGCCTCTGCTTTGAGCACCATGTCGGGGTCTGTACCCAGCAGCATCCGCTTGCTGGGGAGCAGGAAGACGCCCAGGGAGGGGAGCCGAAGTGGTGTGGAGGATCTGGATCCCAGAGGAAGGCATGAGTTTTGTATGCTGGGGTGCAGCAGAGCAGCAAGCTCAAGATAGGGGGAACACAGGAATCAGGGAGGTGAGAAGGGTTGAAAAAGTGAGGCTGAGATCTTCTTTCATGGATTAGGAGGGCATGGGGATGCCGTGAGCCATGGATTCACAGAAACACTTTGTTTTCCAAAACCAAATTTACAGGAAGTACTATGAATAGAAATTGTTTTGCTAAGGGATGCTGCCTTCTGCTTTTGGTACAAGGGCTAAGATGCGCTTTTGTGATTTGCTCATTTTGCTTCCCCTCTGCCAACCTATGACCTCTTACTGTATCTGTTTATTTCCAAGACAAGTCTGTGGGATCCCTCTGTTTTGACAGAAACAGTAAACCAACACCTCCTGCTGTCTCAACACTACTTCTCTAGGGGCTTGGTGGGTTATGAGGTGAAATATATCCTATTTATATTCTCACAGAGCACCAGAATATGCAGTAGTGAATAATTTATTTTATTGACATTTTATTTATGCAGAATAGGTATTCACACTAACATCTAGAGAGCCTAGATTGTAAGTGGAAAGCATAAAAAATCATTAAAGTATATATATATAGAGTGTGATTACATGAGATCCAATCATCCTAACATACAGTTTAAATGCATTGACATTAAAGAAATGATTAAAAACAGGACATAACACAAGAGAAGGTTTACTGAGTATCACAGGCTGAGGTTGTGATACTGAGGTATCACAAAACCTAAGGTTTACTGAGTATCTGGATAGTCAGAAAAGCAGGGCATTCACTTTGCAGGTGATAAAGGGGTTGGCCTTTTGGTTTGGTAGTTAGCCACTCTATGTCGCAGTTTCCTATGTTTGAACTTCCTGTTCTCTGGGCTGCTAGAGAGCAGGTGGGTGTGATGTTCAAGTGAATGCGCATGATGAAGAGATACACCAGCACCACTCCACTTCAGCCCTCTCCCTTCTTACTCATGGAGCAGCACTGAGTGCCATCTTGGATGAGACCGCACTTTCTCTGTCAGGGGAATCGTAACTGCAGAACTATCTAAACAGCAGCCAAAGAGAGAGGAGAGCAATGGGTCTGTTGGCCTGGTAATGTTTTGCTGGTCACAGCTTCCCCTGCTGAAAAAGCTCCCACTGCAGTACATTGATAAGGAAAGAAGGTATTGACCAAAACTTTCTATCTGTTTCTGAAGCTCTTCCTTCCAAAGCAGAGATTGCAAGTACTGCAATACTGGAAACTTTATACTAGTGCTGTGGGAAAAAAAAAATCTCCTTCCCAGGAGACTTCTCCTTCCTCTCTGTTGGTTTCTATTATCCATTTGAAGTGCTGTAGCTGGTAGTTGATAGCTGTATTTCTTTCCAGGCCATATGCATTAGCTGGGAAAGTTTTTTTCCAACACAGTGATGACTCACCTCAAAAGAAGAACAATAATTTGCCTTTAAAAGAAGTAGGCTTATAAAACTCTAGGTTTGGGAATAAGACTCACTCTTCATTCACCGTAGGAGTCAATGGTAGGATTGAATATCCTACTACTGAGTACACCAGTGTATGTATACTTGTCTTCTGTCATTGGAGTCCTATATCCCCTGTTTTACAAGTCCTACACAATTGTTCTAGGGCATGAAAAAGCCATAGGCAGAGAATCTGGAGGAGGATTTTTTTTCAGGGTTATGGCATCGCAGGGAAAGCAATGATAGAGCAAAGGTAATCTCTCTTTTTAACTCATGCTGATTTTCAGGACTGAAGAGCTTTTGCTCTATGTATGCACAAGTTTTCTCCTTTCTTTCATATGTGCAATATAGGTTTACTGTTTTGTCCCAACTCGCTTTGGTCTTGCACTTTTTTCTTTTTTTTTCTTTTTTTTTTTTCATTGGAGATTATGTTTGGCTAGTGACGTTGCTGATCGCTGCCCATTGTGGAAAAGTATTCAGCTGGAAAAGTCTAATTCCCCAAGTGTTGATTGCCACCATGACAACAGCCAGGCCAATCAGATTTACACCCAGGCCAGCTTTCACCTACAAAAACAAAATGCATCAGAGCACGATCAATGACAACTTGATCAAAAACCGTTAACATGGAAAAAAGAAGGCAGTAGGGTGTATGTATGTATGTATACTGACTTATATATAACAGGATAAATTATGTATACTGATTTCTAGAGCCAAAAAAAGCACGGTGACTATTATGTATCAGAGTGTACATTGTGGGAGTATTCAGGAGTAATAGTCAGAGGTTGATGCAGCTCATTGGAAAACTGCTCAGTTTGTCACTTGAACTTCTTAATCAGATAATCGTAATGCGCTGTTATACCACACATAGCAGGCTGATAACTACATGACTTACTGTGGAACTATGTGATAAATCTAATTTCTCAAGTTGTCCTGTGCTTGTCTTAACAGGTCAATGCAAAGGATTGTGTACTTTTTTTCTTTGATACCTCTTTAGACCATTACATTCATGAAAAAATAAAGATGGGAATTGTGTGTATCCTACGGCAGATGTGTAGATGTTCTTAACCTGACAGCTTGGTCACATAACAGCAGTGCAGATCAATATGACTTTATATTAGCACCAATATCATCATTATTATTATTGGCTGCTGGATGTGATCGGGACAACGTGTTGAGGTTGCATGAAGCATGGGAGGATATACCAAATCTCAAGACTCACCATATCTTTAATCTGGCAGTGTCCATAACTGAAGACAATGGCATTTGGAGGATTACCCACTGGCAGCATCACCGCAAATGAGATACACATGGTGACAGGAATCAGGGTGTATAAAGGGTTGATAAGCAGGGTTTCTGACTGGAAAGAGAGAGGAGGAGAGAAATTTCACTTAACCAATAAAAGCCACTACTCATAATTAGGATGAAAGGACCCTCTCTGCTTTACATGAAGAAAGCACAATTCTGTGAATCTCACCTCCCTAGTTTCTAAACCTAAGCGTGGAAGTCTTTTTTGTTGTTTTTTAGAGTAGGGTAGCGCTATAATTTGGAGCTGGTCATGCTCCAGGGATTTCTCTTGAGCCATTTCACACTGGGTGAGGGTGGAAATTGCTACTATTAGGCCTTCTTTGCTCCTTCCTCCCACTTGTTCTCTGTGTCATTCTGTGTTGTGTCTTCCAGACTTTAACACTGACTGCCACTTCAGTCTTTATCCGAGAGAATTCACAACAGGTTGGCATGAAGAACTTACTTCCTTCAGTTGCTGAAGATACTGAGACCACTATGTAAAGTCCTCCTGAACCGTGGTTAAGAAAACCAGATGACCATGGTCCAAACTCGCATGGCAGGAAGGCAGTAATGATGGAGTATTCTTTACAGTGGTCTGAAGAATTGTTCTTCCACTGCAGCCTTTGGTGGTGGTGAAATGTTGTGTTTTCATTTACATTGCTATGGCCTAGTTTTATGTCAGAGGGAAAGGGAAGGGTATTCACAAGGCTAACTTCATTTTGGAGAGGGAAGTGTCTCCAGGTTACTTTTACAGTCAAAAAAGAGAGACTGCCTTAAGACGGCAGTTCAGACTACTAAAAGTAGATTGCTGCTCTAAATTTCTCTTTAGGAGAGTCTCTTTCTGCATGGAACAGAGGTAAATTTGAACTCATAAGCCATACAAACATAATTACTTATTTTCATCTGACCATATCTTCATATTACCTCAGAGCTGTTCACATAATGTACTTTGGGACAATCCCGTAAAATTGATATAATAGGGAAACACAACCTGCATTCTGCTTCACATTACATAAAAGAAAAAAAATAAGACAGTTTTCTGTAACTGCTATTCCAATATAGAATGAAATTTGTATCTCTTTCCTGTGCCTTTGTCACCAGTCTCCTGATTTTTTTCTGTCCCTTACAAACATCTCTACTTTCCATGTTGGATGATAGTACGCTTACCAGATCACCCTCTTGAACACATGTAAATCTGATATAAAATTCACTACTACAGTCTTTTCTTACAAGTAGTGAGTGGGTCACTACTAACTAATGAACAACACATTTAAAATAACACTGATAAGTGTATCTCAAGCTTTATGTGGACTTCACCTATCTTGTTGACTGCATCATAATTTTTTCTTGTACTTAGATGCAGGGTGCAGGAGCTATGTTTTCATTTTGTCTGAGAGGTATTGAATAAATTTATTGGTGCTAAAATATGCTTTTGGCTGCCCGAGTTTATTATTTTTCCTAAGCCCAAGACTGCAGAACAGTAGTTTGGGAACCGAGGCTGGGTTTCATGTGAACAGAGTGCCAATACCCTCATGTCCTGAAACATTCCCACGAGCCTTTCAGGAAAAAACAGACTAAAAATGTCGTTGTTTTTACTCACCATGCTGCATAAAATAGGCAGAAAGATGGTTATGGTTGCTGGATTACTAACAAATTCTGTTACCAGGGACACCAAAATGCAGGCCAGCAGAGTTACAGCCCAGTAGGGAAGGCTGCTCAGGGAGAGCATTTGGCGTCCAATCCATGTAGAGAGGCCAGAGGTCTGGGGAAAGGACAGAAGCGTAAGAATTACTAAATACTTAGTATGTTTGTAAAACAGATTCTTCTCTTCGGGGCAGTTTGCATCAGAGAATCCCACCAGCAAATAAACAAAGTTTAGGTCAATGCTTTCTGCATTTCCTTTTGTTCAGTAAACTGGATTTCACTGCAGTGCCTAATAAATAGTTGTCCATAGTAACAAAGAGATACGTGTGGCAGTTAATGACATTAAAAAGGCACCAAGGCTGATCTTCCCTCTTTCTTCAGCATGTGAACTGGAGTATTGCAAATTGGTGATGAAGGACTGCACAGTCTGGGTAGAATTCATTTTGAGATTAAAATACACAAATTTAGTCGTCTACATGTAGGAGTCTATGGGAGAGCTAGACGTGTATTCATGAATTATACTGGGTGTAGATATAGTCAGTAGAGCCTAGAGTATGATTTGTCCAGTCAGCGCTAGGAGCTTGACTCAGTTGCTTAAAGAAGAGCACCCAGTGGCAGCTGAGATGTTCCCCCTCTGCCTGGTTAGCTGCTAGCTGAGAAAGTGTGAGGTCTCCCTCAGATCCTGTGTCATGTCTGCCAGCCTTGTAGGAATATCTAGATATTCTAAAGCATCTGAAACGGCAGATGCTTACACAATTGACTTGAGCCCTAACCATCTTTTTGTTAGCTACATAGCTGTCCATTGAATGCAGGGCATAGGGACTAGGTTATGTACAAATTTGAAAGTATCCACATTGTAAATCCGAACTGGGGAGCATACAAAGGGATAAAAGTCCAGGTTTATAATTTTTTTTTAGGAAGGAGAATAAAAATCTAAATCAGTACCTTGCACCCAGCTGCTAAGGCATAACCTCCTCCAACCAACACTACAATCTCCCAGGGCATGGTCTTCTGAAAGTCCTTCCAGGTAATGATGGGATCCAGTGTGTTAATGTCTGTTGACTTTTCGCCATCTGCTATATCAAAATAAAACAAGTGTGTGACCAGTATTACATTGGCCTTTTTGCAAAGTTCTTCACATTTTTCACACTAGTAGGAATAATGTAATATCCATGGATGTTATCTTGAGAACTATCTGTGAGAGTGGTGAAGAAGAAGCGCATAGCCTATTTCTCTGGTTAGCTTGGCCTCAGAAAATGCAGCATATTAATTCCAAATGTCCTGACTTCCCCTTGGCTGCTCTGTTGATGTGAATAGTTATAAATCTCTGTGTTTCATTCTACAGCTTTTTGAGGGACTGTGTGCTCTGTTGTGTATATGCGTGTGCAAATTATCTGTAGACCACAAAGATGGAGTTACAATGGGATTATTTTCTCAAAGAAGGGCATTTTCTCTCTCCAGTAGGCCATGAAGCTTGATAAAGTGCATTTATGCCCCTAGGTTTTATCTGAGGACATTGTTTTTTTAGATGCCTGAGTATTTTCTTGAAGTAGGAGTTAGAGAGTGTCATTTTTCCTAAATGCTGCATAATATATGTCAGTATAAAAAATAAACATACCTATATACATTTGTAATCTCTACATAAGACTCTATGCAGGCAATTCTATTTTTATACAGGACTGCTGAAAGCCTGGCACAGGAAACTGATCAAGACCACTGAGTGCTACCCAAATGTGTATGTGAAATAACAATCATTATTATTATTATCAAGAAGACTGTGAGAGAAGCATTGCACAAAATTAGAACTTTGTCTGACATTTACTGACCTCTTTTATGTTTATTTTATGACATTATCAATGATTTCTGCTGTATAAGTGATGACCAAATTATTTACTAGCGCTTATCTTCGGCCAATTTTGCAAACATCCGCATTATAGTTCTCTATATGGAACTCCATCTGAACCTTTCCTAAAACTAGTCCTGGATTTTTATAACTGTTAACACAGAAGAGATGGTGGCCTCAGATACAAGATCTGTTTGTAATCTGCTGGATGGGACAATATGAATTAAAGCAACAAAAAAGACGGGGGTTGATATAAGAAGGGCTGGTATCAGAGGAGAAACTGAACCCTGACCTTCCACAATAAAAAATCTCTTCTTTGAACATTTTACAGAGAACAGAAAAATGTCATTAAAGGCACTGGAAAATGTGCCAGATCTCTTTATTGCTGCATCCTCCTCACCTTTTTCTCTTTTTCCAAAACATGGCTTTTTTGCTGGAATCAAGAAAAGGAGAAAACCAAGAAATACAGAGACAGTGGCATCAGTCCGGTAACCTTTCCTAGGAAAGAAACAGTGGGGTTATCATAAAAACACACTGACAGAAACATTTCCAAACAAGGTACATGGCTCCAAGAAAATTGTTACAGGTGAAGTTGTATTTCCACATCTGAAGTCTTACTAACAGCCCACTAGAAAAATATGTCTGCATATCAAGGATAAAAATTGGATTTTTTTCCCATTTATTAAACTGACTCCTGTAGCCAGCTTCAATCACTGCTCAACGATTTTTAACATTCCAGTGAAAAAAAGAAATCCCTTTTGGTTTACAAATCTATTAACTCAGAGGTACAGAAAAATAGTGCGTTTACTAGAAGCAAGAAACAGTAAACACATTCTGGGGAAAAGCCAAACTCAAGTGATCCTTTAGAAATGAACTGTAGATTGATTTTAAATTAAACATTTAAAACTGATTCTGAAAAAGTATTTTGAGGAGTGCCAAACTCCAGAGATCCTCAGGATCTATTAGAAATCGTTTTACTGTCAAAATTAGGATGAAAAATTAAAATAATTTTATGCAGTAGAAACATAAAGAAAATTTAAGTTCAAATCACTTATTCTTTGATATGCATTGTGCGTTATAATTACTTCTAATATAATTTGTTTCAACATTATTTCAAATAAGAGAAAAATCATTTGCTTCAGTCACCATTCTGTGTAATATTTAATTGAAATGGACATTTTCTTGATGAGATTTATCTTCAGAAAAATACACTTTTTGTCAAAAATTATTTCAAAATAAAAAAAAGTATAGTTGCAGTTTATTCCAGTGACAGCTTCTCTATGAATGCACTAAAATGTTTTAACTTCAGAATCTGACCCTCTATTTTTTTACATTTGAAATATGTTTATTTTACTTTCTCTACTTAATTCACTCTGCTTACTGAGAAAGAATACAATTTACTGCCATGTGAACAGATGTAGTTTAAAAAGAAAAATCCTGATTTTTTAATAAAGACTTCACTTTTCACCACCTTGTTAAAAGTGGCTGATGATGTTTTGAGGCCAAAAATTATTGCAGAACGTCAGAAGTTGCAAGGCCATATTTCTTTGCAGTTGTTCAGGGAACTTCACTTACTTCTCAAAAAAAGATGACCATCCTGGTACAAAGCCAGGCTCACGAGTAAACCAAAGCAAGGTCATCAGAATGAAGAAAAATCCAGTCACCATCTCAGGATAGCTAGAAATAAAAGCAAAAAAAAAAAAAAAGCTAGGAATTAAATCCAAGGTCTTTCTGAAAACCCGAGAGCAAATTCCAGAAGAATTAAGAACATAGCAATTGGTTCCAAAAAAAGGATAAAAAACATACAGAAAATAGAAGGGAAGATTAGTTTGAATTAAAGAATTCTATGTTTGGCTCCCAGCTGAGAACCATCTAAACCCAGTAAAAAATAGGCTAAAAATATCCGTTTGTATTTGCAATTCAATCATTCATGGGCAAGACCTAAAGGAAAATATTTATAAATGCTTGTTTTGTATTTGCATTATTATCTGATTAAATGTGTTAACAAGGTACAGCTTGTGTTGCTATTCCACTGTAAACACTTTCTATGGCATTTTTTGAAAGTGTAGAAAGCATAAGAGCAAATGACAATATAAATTAGCACAGATATTTTGAACACATGGAATAAATATAAGATGTCTTGAGGATTCTGAATTTTAATTTAGGATCGATTTAAATTAAGTATGGTTTCATATTTAGGCAGAGCCTGAACAACAGTCTACATTCAGAGTTGATCATATTCAGCAAGTTGATCTGTCAATATTTCAGTTGAACAGCACAAAAATGTTTTGGGAATAATGGATTTTATGAGGTATCATCCCTCTTGAAAAAGGAAAATCTTGCAAAATAATATTTTCAAGAGACATTTCTTGCCACCATGAATAAAGATTATGGGCAACTGGGAGGGCTGGACACTTCATGGTGTGGGATATTTCTGCAAAGCCTTTGCTAACAGTGAACTTCTATCCACCAAAATAAGTATGTGCTTGAACTGGGAAGGGGGGGTCCTTTAATGATATACTTAAAAGGTAGAGACAAACCTTGACTCAGATGACCTTTGGACCCTGGTAGAAACCTGAATCTTTCCTTTTATTTCCTTTTTCTTTAGAAATAAATAAATGAGTAAATAAACGTGTGCTTGTAACAAAGTCTTTGATTTTAGTTCATTTCTGCATTTAGTTCTACTCCTATCCTGGAAAGGAGGAGAAAGAGCTGACAGTTTAAGAGCCAAAGGCAACATGGAGGGTAATATGAAAGGAAGGTCCTGCCTAGAGAGGCAAATTCCTGAGGAAGGCAGGTCCGTTTTACCTAACATTTCCCAGTTTCTTATATTCTTCTTGAATTCTTCTCTCTGACATTTCTTCCCGTTTGGTCTTCTTCTTCTGGCTCACAGAACAGGTCTCTTTAAAACTGAGGTAGATAGCACAGTAAAATTAGACAAGGGCATCAAGTGAAAAAAAAGCCATAAAAAATAACAGCAATGAGGCAAACTGAAAATTCCAGTTGCCAAAGGCTGTTGGGAGATGTGACTGGGGCAAGGCCTGATGGCAATGGGAAGGGAAATTATGGCATGTGATCTTTGCATAGTCTAGTTTCCAGATCTTCTGAGAATCAATCCTAGACATAGCAGGAAGGTCCCCAGGGTGCTCAGACTAATACTGACTGGTATCACTGAGCCATCCCAAGCTGTGGCTGGCCTCCCTTTGTGTAGGCTTCCTCAAACAGTTGGCGGTGGCCAGATTCTTCTGGTGTCAGAAACCTCCAAAGGCTATGGTTAATTTCTATCATCACATAGAAAGACTGACAGAGGCCAGCTATCGATAATTTTTTTAATGGGGGAACTGTATGCTTTCCAGCCGGATCACGGGTATCCAACATATGGGGCCCGGTCTGGCTTTTGAGCCCAAGTTTGTCTTCAATATTCAGGATTCACTGTAAGGAAAGGGGGAAAGCTGTGCTGAGGATCCCAATACCTTTCACGACCTGTCTGCTTCTACTAATACTAGCTGTTTCTAAACCAGGCACAATCAGTGTACCACCAAATTGTCTCTGCCATGGAGGCCAAGGCAATCAGCCTAGTGTTTTGTCCTGGTAAAAAATGCCTGTACTTCTGCCAGGGACATACAAACACAAGTACGTTTCATAGCTGAATATATTTAAACCTGCTATATATTTGTATGAAAATTAGGTGAAGTCCTTCTTAGTTTATTCAGATTGCCTTCATACTATAACAAAGCATGGACATTCCTAATTGAAATTAAGACACTTGCAAGTTCACTTTAACCTTTTCCTTTTCGTCTTTCCAGCAGCATTACTTTGCTGTGCTTTGAGCCACAGATCTCTGCTTTTCAGCTCCAGCTGTACCCTCTATCACACAGAGGTGTGTGGAGTGGTTTGAGAAACCTCTGCGGCTAAGCCAGTCTAAAATAGGCTGCAGCAGCAGAGACTTCAGTGACGGAAGTACCATGGGAGCACAATGGCCTGCTTTTATAGTTCATGCTGTTTTAATATCTCATTTGGTACCCTACTAGAGATCCATGCCATAGCACTGGCCAGACCATGGACTGCAATCTCCCTCCCTGTATCTGGTTATAGCCAGATTCTCAAAGGGATTTGCATAGCTCAAGATGCAGGCAGGCCCTGTCTGGTTAACAGAAAGTCTTAAACAGGCTTTTCATTTCACTTGTAAATGGGCACCTATGTGACACTTGGTTTTAGTGCACTTAGCACTGCCCTGCACCTGTAAGTATTTAAATTTCCTGGCAAACCTTGCTGTTAGACTCCAGTAAAATCCACCAGCAGAAACGCAACTGCTGGAAGAGAAGAGCTATATGGTTTATAATGGCCAGTTCTATAGTAACGATTCTACCCTTAGCTCTGCTTTGCTGGCAAAAATCGTTTGGTGGGTCCATTATCCTTCCCCTTTGACCTAGTCTAGAGAGTAAAAAGCAAGTCTGACATGTTGTTCCAACTGGGCCAAGTAAGAACAGATTGGTGACGCTGGGCTTCCTGGAAAAGAGCATGAACATTACGGGGATTCAGTAAACATTTATGCACAGGCATTAGGTCGCTGTTTCAATATTGTAAGTGTTTCTAGGCTTAGGAGGATGTGAAGGCAGAGTATTGTAGCCAAGATCCTAACATAATGTGTTCTTTAATGAACTGCAGTGAACAGGAGTCAGAGATTAAGGAGGCTTGGAATCAACCAGTACTTCTCAAAAAGTCAATAATGCTTCAGTCTCTGGTATTTAGAACAACATTAATCAGCATGAGGTCTTGGATACAATGTGGAATTTCAATTATATTTATTTAAAAAAAAAAGAAAGTAATTGAGGGTCATGTTAGAGCCTGTTTCCTCTTAAGATTAAAAAAAAAGAACTTATTTTAACCTCTTAATTTAGAACTACAAGGCTCAGGAGACTGACTGAGAGAAGGGCATGGAGCTATTCACTTCTAAATTACCTCTTCAAATCTCGTCAAGGTCAGCAGCAAGCAGAAATCATTATCATTTTATTCATTGTCTTAGGTGAAATAAATTAGTGATGTCAGTTCAGCTTTTAAGAGTAAACTAAATCAAATTAAGGCCAATTTAATTCTGAGTAAATGTGTCTGCACCACAATTTAGTGCAGATTAACTAATCCGCTCTAAATGCACACATTTAGTCAATTTTCATTAACTTTGCTGAGTGCCTCTGCAAAGAGAATACGTGGTACAAATGAACTAGGAGACTGAGCCTTGTCCTTATTTTGGGGACTTACTGGTATCAAAAGGTTTTCATCTTTTAGGCTGTGAGTCCTTTCCACTTTAAAGAGAAATATATATGGAGTGTGTTTACCTTTAATTTTAACTGGTCTTACATTAATTTCATTGAGCTCGGGGCAGATGTGAAAAGTGACTTGTTCACTTGCAGTTATTTTTCTATTCATCTTTTAAGCTGTACTTTTCCAAAAGGACTTTTAACAAGATTTTTGGTCCACAGCGGGATCCTCAGGGTCATGAGAGTCAAAAAATCAGTTGAATGCATCGTAAGGATTTCCATCAGCAATACCTAGGCACTTCACTCTCAAGCAGCAATACTGTGCACTGCTGTCTATGCAGCGTAGCTAAGCAATAAGATTTCCTCCGGTAATTGTTCTGGCAAGAAGAAGGAAGTTGTGCCTTAGTTTTTGTCATTTGCAACTGGAAACATCTTTATGAGACATGTTCTAGAGGAGCCACAGATGCCCTGCTTTTGTAATCCATGCATCTTGAACAACCTGCACTCACTTGCAACCCAAGAACAGCCAATGCATCCAGAACCAAGTCAGGACCAACATGATGAGGGAGATGGGGAAACTGAACAAAAACCAGGTTCCAAAATTCACCACTTCTGCATTTGGGTAGTGGCTGTAAAGGAAAAAAAAAGGATGCACGGGAAGTTAAACAGTAAAAGCACAGGCACCTCCAAGATACATTGATGCACACACATATATGTGTATATATATTTGTCATGGCATGATAGACAAATTGCATCAGTATGTATTTGCAACAGCTGCATTACATGTGCATAGTGAAACCAATCGCCAAAGAAAGTCAATCATTGACCACGCCTGACCAACAGATGAACCATATAGCACTTCACACCTTTAAGACCAGATGGTCTGTATTGTCTAACCAGCTTCAAAAAACCTTAGAGTTACCGGGAGTGAAATTCTGGCCCTACTTGTGTTTTTTGTTAAAGCTCTCTTTAGTGTTAACAGACTTAAGAGTGATTTCACTCCGAATCTCTTTGTATGTCTTATTGTGGACCACACAAATAATTACTATGGTCTGCTGGGCTCTGACAAAGATGTCTGATATGTGCATTTGTTGGAACTGTCATAACAGCAAGATCTTTGGAAATTCTGTAAAATCCAAATCCTTCGGTTAAGGATGGCTTCCAAAATTAGTTTTCTGTGCTACCACCATTTCAGAGAGAGAAATGAAGGATTTCATGGCAGCAGTGGCAGCAATAGATGATCAGAATCAGGTCTGAGCTTGGATGCGTATCTGTGCATGAGGAGAAGTACCACCAGTCTTCTGACAGAGGTAACATCCATGTTTTTGAGAGCCCTGGGCATATATGATAAATGAAATATTTAGCTGATCAGAGAGCTGCTTCCCATCTTCTCTGAAACAAAGGTGTAAGGCCACATTTCTAAGTTTATTTATTTCTGCACTACATGTTGAGCAGCCCAAGTACCCCTAGTGATGCTTCTAGGCTCACCATAAGAACTCACTTTCTAAGAACCCATAGAAAAACTTGAAACTGATTTTATGACATTTCTTCTTTTGTGAATACTTCTCTTTGTGTTCCTTGCTGTATCTTCATGGCTTTAGTGTTTACTTTTCCAGGGTGCCTGCTGCCTTCACGATAATCAGTTTGTAAAATAAAAAGTCGCTGAAGAAACTTAAATGTTACCACATGCTGAGGAATTTTTTATTTTGCATGGGAGAAAGACATGGATATGTATTAACTTAAGCTCCACCTTTCAACCATTAACCATTACCAATAACATTAGAGCAGAGGAGGAAACAAAATTGCCTTCAGAGAGACTGTCTTACAAGGGTTTCTTGAGGTAGTAAATAACCCATGGGGAAAGCCACAGAGATGATAACGACCCAACCACCATTCTCACACAACTACAATATCACTTACTTGTTGAAGTGCTCTAAGAATATGAGGCTAGTGGAGGTCCCTATGATGGTTGTCAGTCCTCCAATGGTTGCTGCGTAGGAGATACTCAGTGAGAGGCATTTACAGACCATGTGGTCATGTCTGGTCTGATACCGGTACTTAGTGCTCAGGCCCAGTTCTGAGGGCTTAGGAGGCAGGACCAGTATCTGAGCCTGTGAGGGGATACATTCATCAAAGAAAGCAGGTGATCAGAACAGCAGCCCGACTTGCTCTAATGCCATGGTGATGCTGGTCCCAGAGGAACAACAGGTTTGCGTAAGAGGAGGCAGTTTTTTCTTCACAGGGATTAACTGGGATCAGAACTAGAAACCTGTCCGGGGGCCTGAAATTGCCTAGTCTGTGGCAGAAATGTAGGACAAACAGTAATCCGACTTCTGGCTATGGTTTGGGCCAGCTTCAGTTCTGACTGGAATCTCAGTGGGATACCGAAAGCCTTTGTGGGCTGCAGGGGCGGGATGCCAGCACTGCAGCAGTAGGAATCCATAATCCTTGAGGCTTATGAGCAGCCACCAGACAAATGCTTGGTGGACTTTCTGCACTTATACTGGCTCAGGGCCTCTGATTAGGAATGGAGTGCTAGGGGTCTCAGAAGCAGCATGAAAAAGGCTGAGCAATGGGAATATGGAAGAAAAAGTTGTAGGAAAATATTGCTCCAAAAGAAGCTTTCTTAGTAGTGACAGGAAAGTCTCCATGTCGGTCAATCAAGTTCTTGTACTGGAAAAAAAGGTACAGTACTTCAAGGCACTTCACATGCAACCCAAGGCTGTAATTTAGGATCAGTAAAAAGCCAGCAAGTGGTTCAGATAGATTTGTTAAATTTATTATTTTGGATTTGGGTTTATGTAGTAAAATCAGTCATGCTATAGGTTCATCATCATTGTGAGGGTACCCTGGCTAAAATCCCTGTAGGTTAAAAGTGAAGTGAGTATATTTGTTACAAAATAACCACTGAATGTGTATGGGAAATGTGTATAAGAGGAAATTAAGTATCAGGAGCAGTGCATTAGCCTGTTTTGGAAACATACGCTCAGATTCTTTTGAACTGTGAATGCAAATTCATGTGTTGATTTCAAGCTAATCTTTCCTGGACATCAATTTATGCCATTAAGATACTACATAATTGTAGTCCAAACAGCAGTCACTTCTTGGATCCACTTATGAGAAGTAGAAATACTGGAATGGACTGCTGTAATGGAGGATTTTGAGGGTGGATATTTGGCAAGACAAAAAGGAGGTGGATACTAAGACTACCTAACAAACTGGCTGAACAGTTAAATGGTCCATGCCTGCTGCTCGTTTAGTTCTGAGTAGGGTATTGTGCGTCAGGGATTGTTATTTCTGAGTCAGGCTATTTTCCAAGGAGGCTTTGCAAAAAAAAAAGTGGGTTGAACAGCCAAATAAGAAGGGAAACTTGTGATCACATTACTGAATGTAAAGCTAAATGAATTGTACTAGCCATTGGGGGAGGGTCTTCTGAAAATACCTGTACTAGGGGCATCTAAATGGGAGTAAGAACTAGCAAAGGGCCAAGCCATGACTGCTGTAAGATGACAGAGAACGATTTCATGTAACACAGCATACAAGGAACAATTATGAAACAGTGGGGAGCAGGTGATGTTCACGTCTGTCTTTTCCCTCACCCCCCGGGTCTAACATCTCCTTACCTGAGGTAGGTGCTGCCCATTGCTCTTAGAATTCATCATTCCAATAGGATTGGCTATCATGTGCACACCATTCATACTCTGTAGGGAGGCAAATGCCTTTGGATTAGCCTTTCTTCTGTTCCTAGGGGCACTTAGATTAGAATTGATGATGCTTTGTAAAGGTCATGGGTAGTGGGCTTTTGGGGGCCGGGGGGGGGGGAAACCACCAAAATTTCAGCTGTAAACTTTACACTGGGGAAAAAAAAAATAAGATTTAAAAAAACCCAACAACCTGATTTTATTTTAAAGTGATCTTAAAAGTCAGATTATAATAAGTTTAGGTCTTCTCCCTCTGCCACGTAGGAGAATCTACCAGATCCCTTGCTAGAGGCTATGACTTTGTGATATGTGTAGGTTGTTCTAGTAACTGAGGTGTCTCAGCTGCAGAAGATGCCAATACCTAGACAATAAAACATCATATCTGAACTTGCTAGAAACCATAAGGAATTGTTAGTTTGCTGACTGGATCTCAGGATCTCCAGCAATAAGTACAACAAACGCTACAGAGCTGATGTTTCCCAACTTGATTTGGGCTGACAGGTTAAATACAAAGCAGGACATTCTGCAATAGGTACTCTCTGCCAACAACCACTACTTGTTTGAAAGAAAGGAAACAGCAGTTTGTTGCAGAGCTGTGTGGACTCTGCTCTGATGGTTCCTGCATTAGAAGACAGTGTAGCTTAGAAAATACTACCTATGACAATACCTTTGAGTGCATCAAGGAGCTGAAGTCAGTAGTAGTAGCACTAAAAACAAAGAAAGGAAAATATACTTTAAAAATGCCTGTTCACCCAGCTCCCTCAAAAGGCACACATCATGGGTAGGAGGGGCAACATCTGTAGGAGAACTAGTGCCTACTGAAATGGTGAAGAACACCATTTATTAGTGCCTCTTATGTGGTATCTTGGCCAGATACATAAGAGTCGGCATGTTTCACAGCTCTATCTCTAGCTGTGTAGCAATGGGTTTCCACCTCCATGAAAGAAAAAATATGTATTCTAGGTAGTGTATACCCCATTCTAGGAACTGACTCCATTCACAGTGGAGTAAATTACCGGGCAATCCAGTGCTACCGCTACCTTGTTCTACTCAAGTTCTTCCTCTGCCAATCTCTCCAATGCTGTTTCTGAGCACCTACCTGTACCGCATTAAAGCCTTCACTAAAATCTGTCCTGTGTGGCATGTGGACTGTGCAAACCATCCACTGAACTTTTACTTTGACATTGAAAACAGATTTAATTCCAGAAGATGTGCTACTTCTCTTCTCCCATCAAATTTCAAGCTCTTTTTCAAGTAATACTATTTTAATAATAGTTCTGTTATGAAATATCCCACACATACTCTTCAACAGGGCTTAAAGGGATTAATGGCACAATGCCAGACTGACAATTTGATTCTATACTGTGCAGCAAATATGGCTGGGATAAAAAGAGATAACAACAGAGGGAATATTGGAGAACACATTAGTCTCCAAACTAATGAGAAAACTATTTAGATCTTGCAAGTTAACCTAAAGTCATCAGCATGTGCTGTTTGAATGATAATGTTTGTTTTAAAGTAAATTTTTAAAGGTGTAACAAGAACTTGTTTCTCTTTTATTTTGAACATCATGAACAAAATAGAAAGAGCTCAGGAAGGGATTGTGCAATTTATTCTCACACCTTTTAAGAAGATGCTCCTCAGGATTTAGCCTATAACATAGTTTTAGGACAATGACTTTGTATATTCTCCTGAATATCTTGAAATGCTGGTTAATTTGATAATTTGACAAAGAAATTAGTCCTTTCTTTGCTTTGCCCTTTTCACCTTACTAGATTTTACCCTAAATAGAGACCTGGTTGAAACTGTTAGTGTTTCAAACTTCTGAAGAATTTTGTCTATATTGAAAGAAATATTTTACAGGTTATTTGGGGGGAGGAGGGGTATTTTTTGTTGGTCCTCCCCGCCCTCTCTCTCTTGAATGCTCTTGACAGTTCAGGCTTTCCTTAGGAATCCTCCGTAAGTGTTTTCCCTCCGGATATGTCCTGTGGGCACTCCATACTGTGCTTGGATCCTCTCCATCACTGTTCCTTCAGGGGAACAGAAATAAAAATCTGTGGACAGCACTCTTTTACACAGCACAAACACAGACTTCAAAAGAAGATCTTTCAAACCCTGAGAAACATTTTCCTTCTCTCTAAAATGGCCATAGTGTTAAAAAATAAATGAATCCTGGGAAGCTTTAGTGAGATCCAGGCCATTACATTAATCCCATTTTTCATATAAGCCTTCCTTGTCAGTCCCATCTAGAACATTCACTTGTAAGCTTCTGCTTGCCCTTCCTGGCTCTACTCCTGGGTTCATCTCATTGCAACCTGTGTAGGGCTCAAATCTCCAGTCGTGATGTACAGGGTTCATTCTTACTCCTCATTGATGAAGATAAGCTCCAGTGAATGTTGGCCATGCTTTTCGCTGAGACCTGCAACGAAGGAAAAGAAAGCAGCCCTTGGGGTAAGAACTGAGCTGAAACCCTGGGCCACACCACTGAATGTGGAGAAGCTACTGCGAACAAAAGGTTGTCTGAACCCTCTCAGGTACTCTGTGACCCTTATGCAGCATTTTATTGTGTCATATTGTCCTGATCACGTACCTCTGGCAATTAAAAGACTATCACATCTACGTATAATAGTCAAGGTTAGGTGACATCATTTTCAGCCTGGCATCTGTGAATTGAAAGAAAAGAGAGATTCTTTTCTTCCCAAATCCTTTCCTTCTGGGAAGGAATGAGCAAAACGAACCTTAGAGCTCTTATGAATTTTTTTTTGTGGCACCTGTTCTGACCTGGGCAGCCTGGTAGGGCAGGGGTAGAATGGGCAAGCATGGGATTGTCACAGAGCACGCTTTTGGGCCTCTTCTACATTTCTTTGACTTTCTTCTCAGAGGTTTCCTTCCAACCCTGTAGAATCCTATGACCTAAGAGTTTATGACACACAAACTCCACTACATGCCCTAATTCAACATAGTTTCCCAACTCCAGTTCTCCCATCACATCTTGAAACTTTCTTTCATTTTTTGAAAGAAATATCAGAGTACAAAAAGAAAGAGTACAGACCAGCGTCTTTGGCAGTACAAGTCAGACAGCTCTGACCTCGATAGAATTTGAATAATGTGTATCAAGGAGTCTAGTCACTGATAAACGAATGAGAAAAGAATGGCCAATATTGACAAATACCTATTGGCTCGTTTTCTTCAATAATGGTGCTGCCTGCAGTACTGATGACCTCGTGCTCCTCCTCAGCATTCACTAGCTCCTGGAGCACTGCCTCCACGATTGGCATCACCATGGCTGTGGTGGATGTGTTGGAAAGCCACATGGAAAGCACCGTGGTGCAACACATAAAGCAAAGAAGCAACCTGGAGTACAACACAGGGAAACCTTCTTGAGGCACTTACAGAAATATAAAAGGCCTCCTTGCTTAACATTTTCATTAGTCAACAGATAACTACACGGGGCCTTTTTCTTTTTGTGGGTGCCAAAATACCATGCTGTGCACAGATAAAATGCTGCCTTGTGCTGAAAACTGTCATAAGACAATGTATCATTGGAAGCCGTTTACTGCCCAACGTGGAAATTAGCATGTGATGTGAGAAACAGTGATTTTCAGCATATCCAGGATTTAAGCATCCTTTTGTGTTTGCTAAACAACAGGCAAAGAAGGAACAGAGAGACTAAAATCAGTATCAGTAAAAAATAGAAAGCAAAGGGACAACAAGCCAAGGAGTAGGAGGTGGCAGAAAGAGGGTGAGAAAATGTGTAAGCTTTCAAATTCTGAAAGGAAAGGTGGGTAGGAAAAAGAACCCCAAACTAAGCTAGCTTTTGCCCATGGATGGGAAAGTCAGAGTTGTTATTTGCTCTTTCAAGCCACTGCTGTCAGCCTCAGACTACCCTGAAATCAGTGGTTCACTTACATGCCTGGCTTTGCTCCAGCCATCATGACCATACGCAGGGCGATTCGCTTGTGGAGATTCCACTTTTCTACAGAAGCTGCCACACAAATCACACCCATGAGGAGCAAAGTTGTGTTCTTGAAATATTCGGCAGCCACCTGCATTAAGGGCAAGGGGGAAATAGTCAGTTAAAAAAGCAGCAACTACCCTGTACAGAGAGTATGCTGAATGAGAAGAAGTATGGTATTGTGGATTTTTTCCCCCTAGAGAAACAATGACAGAGAGCTGGAGAAAATGAAGAATTCATGAGTCAAAATGTTCTCTTCAATCTTTTTCATGTTGTGTTTACAAATAACAAGTCTCTATACCCACTTGTTAGTGTGAAGCTACTGCAGAAATAACAAATGAAGCAAACCAAAACTTTCACACACACACACACACACTCACACTCTCTCTCGTGTGAAAGCAAACAAAATGGGAGAAAATAAAAGTTATAAACAGATTCTTGGAGTCTAGTTAAATTTTTCATTTCATTCTGATGCAAGCTGTTGCTGGAATTTTTTTTCCAAAAACATAGTTTCTTCAGTTTAAAATTATTCCTCTAACCAAATGTAGGCACCAGCATTTTAAAACAATTAAAATCAGTAGAAGCAGTAATTTTTCCATAGTCTTCAGTTATACTGATGCTCTTCCATAAAAGTGCAAGAATGACACTAATGTTATTTTGTGAAAGGTGCAGCAAGTTAAGTATTTAATTATATTTATTTAACAAATCCCCATGGTGACCTAAATAGACTTGGCTATCATAGTTGTGTGCCAGAACTTTTAAATATCACTTTTTTGGCTTTCTTCCACTGGTTTCTTTCTCATTAACTTCCTTTATTTTCCTGCTACCTTGTTAGAAAAAGATCTTGACCTGAATGAAAGGAATCCGTCAAGCCAGCAGCACAAAGAATCTGTTGTTTTCCTTTATTCCTTTCACAGTCATTTTGGAGAAACAAGTGAATACTAATATTCTTATTAATACATGCGTACACATATACGACACACTGGCTCATGTTCTTAAGCCCCTGTGAGTTATTTGTAGCTTAAACTGCTAGGCAAGAGCCCTGGGTTTCTATGGCACTCCAGAACAGCAGACTGGAAATACTGCAACTTCATCAGAGTTGTTTATTTTAAGATACAGGTTTTTATTTGTGTTCTTAAAGCAAATAATACATTCTCTGTAGTAGTCCTGCTGTCGTTTAATTTGATATTACATTGAATTGCTGTCAGGCTGCCCTTAAATTTTCCTTCTCCAATATGCTGCAGAATTTTGAAATGAAAATACATAACTACTTTATGTTAGGAAAAAAAATCCAGAAAATATTTAACTGTGTTGGTATGGAAATGTACCTGATTATATTACACAGTTGTTACACCATTGGGAGGAATAAGGCAGGTCATAAAACTCTTGGTTCATGCTCGACTCCATCCATTTATGGGTGTGCCCAGGGCCAGATTGTGTTAGAAATTCAGCAATTTTATGGTTGCTATATATTCTTCTGTGTTCTTATCTGTATTTCTAGTCCTTATAAATCAAGTGTGATGCCCTCTCACCCCCCAAAAAAGAGAGAGAAAAATGGAGGAAAAAAGAAGCTGTAGATGAAATAAAATAAATTCTTGGCATATCATGAAAGAAAATAACATTCACCAAAAACTCAAGTAAGCAAATTCAGAAATGATCAAAGACACTTTTTTGTACAGCTACTCCTTTGCCTTAGAATTCAAGGTAGCACTAAGACTACAGCTTGGAAAAAGGACTAGACATTCATCGGGATAACAAATTTATCTAGTCTTATACAGTAAATGGTAACTGTTTTTAGAATATGTAGCCTCATGCCTTATACATCATCTTTAATAAATATAATTGGAAGGAAACTTTACAGTTTATCCCACAACTGCTGTTTACATGGTTTTGGAGGAGGGGAAAGGTTGGATGCTTTGATGCAATAGGTTTTGGGAATTGTTGGTGATGCAGTAGCTGCCAGGATGGACACCCCTCTTGGCTAATAAAGCCATTCCTACGTCTATCTTCAGTAGAAGAAAGAGCTGGTCAGCCCAAGTTACACGTTACAAGATGTACACTTCTTCCTTCCATACCTCTTAGTCTTGCTAGTCCACTAAGATTAGTTTTATTCAAATAATTAGCTGAGGGTGAGAAGATTAAATGATAAAAATGTGCACACTGGTCTGACCTCACTGGACTTCATGACTCCAAAAAGTGGGTACAGGAAAGCAGGAACTAAGGCTGCTGCACCAAGGGGTACCGCTTCAGAGACCCAGTATACAGCTGTCACGATCAGCACGTAGGCACATGAGGCTTCCTGTAGGGAGAAAGCGTAGAGGTTACATATTACTGCCACACCACCTGCTGGGGAAGCCTTTGTGAACACGTTCATAGGACTCGTCAGACTGAGGGTGCCTGGACTTCAAAAAATCAACAAGGACTGCATAAGGACCTCCTAAGGTGTGGCTGTTTGGGTCTGAATCTAGGATACCATCAAAAAGGCCAGTTACAGAAGATGATGCTAATGAAAAGTTTTGCACATAAGCTAGGGTAAAACATTGGGATAAATGTATTTATCAGCAAAATAATAGTTCCAAGTGCATTTACAGATTTGTTTGAATTTCATAATCCAATATTTACCAAATGTTCAACCATGACTCCTCATATTGGGCCTGTGGAGCTGGTATTTCTACATGGCTATCTCTCCAATATTGGACAAGAACAGGAATCCATAGTTTTCTGGATCAGACAAGAACATTCACATTTGCCATAGCAAGGATAAAGCCAGGTTGTGGCTCTTTTGGGAAATGCTCTGAAAGATTGCTTTTTTTAAACAGTGTGCAAACCTACATTGTTTGTCAGTTGATTTTATTTTCTCAGCTGATTTCTACAGACCCTTGGGAGAAGACCACAGACCCGAAGGGCTTAGAGGCAATGGGTTAACAGAGTTAATCAAACAAATTTGCTGCGGTCCAAGGTTCTGGTAGAGAAAGCCACGACAACACCATGCTGAGCCCTCATGGAGAGCTGGTATATGATGCAGAAAGGTGCTATCTGCTGAATATTTTTACAGAAAAACACAGCTAGTCCAGAAAGTATTCTGGTCCCTTTTTTAGATAGATATGTCTTTATTTATGGCATTCAGGGGAGTTGTCCTTAGGCTCAGTTTGTTATGCTTAGAAACCTGGGGATATTTCCTGCTAATAAGTACAGAAATTAACCTCAGGAAAATGTTTTTCCTTTCCTTTTCTCAAATTTGGAGCCAGATCCTGTACTGGGCCTAACTGGCAGTTCTATGGAAGCTAGTAGGTCTGCACTGATTTGTACCAGCTATAAATCTACCTGTTCTCCATTATTCCCTGGATGTTCAGTATGAACTTATCAAGCCATATGGATTCACAGCTCACAATGGCTATTGTTTAGAAAATTCACTGTTCACAAATACTATTTGAGTGTGTTAAAATACAATTTCATTACTTCCGTTTCATGATCGGATCATTCCCAAATTAAGTAGCTTTCAAAAAGTCACACAAGCAATTCCCATGGATCCTTGTGCAAATCAATGAGCATGTATGACACTTCCTTTTTTTTGCAATCAGTTTTGTGATGAAGTCTAAAGTAAGACTACACAGGGATATGTATTCACTGGAATGAATCAATAGCTTGTATTTAAATTCATGTTTATACATGTCCTTTTTACATTACCTGTAACAAAGAGCCATGTTCAGCTCTTCCTCTTTTTTAGTACAGCTTATAGTAATAACAGGCAGAACACAGCCCAGAGAAAAAGTTAAAATAGATTGCTATGTGTCATTTCCTTTACTTGCTTAAAAACTGCAGCCAAGCTTACTCAGAAGCTTGGATTTAAATTAGCTGCCAGACCTTGCTCTGACTCCTATTTCAGAAAAGTGTAACATTAAACAGTTCTGATTCAAGTAAGCAGGGCCACCAAAAATAACTGACACAAGGTTGTCAGGAAAAATAATTTCCTTGAATCAGATAAACTTCAATTACTTTAGAGACTATAAAGAGTATCTGAAAGGCTATTGGGGGAATTTCGCTCTGGATTGTTCCTTTATGGATGGACAAGTACATCTGAACTTCTGAACCATACAGAAACATGCATATTTGTTTCTCTTCCTTAACTATTATAGAAGAGTGGTTTAGGTTTTAAGCTCTCCAATACAGGTTTCACTAGTCCTCTATGATCAGCTCCTTCAGCAAATATTACAATGAAAGATTGTATTGCAGTTGTAGCTTCACTGCTCCCAAGAAAAAATGATAAGAGAGGATAGAGAAGGATGTCTTAGAATGGATGATAGCAGAGGGTTTTTTTTAATATTCATGGATTATGGAGCATGCTTTTTATAAGATGGAATTGTTATGCTGTTTGAAACTCCAAAGGCTGGTGTTCAGTTTGTAACAACTTCAAGTGATCACTCAGTAAAAAACCAAACAAATAATTTTGACTTAAAAATGGAAATAATTTTAAAAGTGAGATGACAGGCATTAGAGATTTTTAGTAATCTCTACTAGGAAGACAAAACTATTTTAGATGAGAGTCACGGAGCTGATGGATTGGCTCATAAACATTAGCCAACTTGCTGCTCAGTCACCTTTAACTACATTATACTTCATGGTTAATATTCCATAGAGAGCAGAGCATAGGGTCATTTTTGTGACCTCGTGACTATTTGACATGTTCTTTATTTTTTAACTCATTAGTTTCTGCTAACAAACTACTACGTTTGCATGGGCTCTGTATAAAATCCAGCAATTGTCTGAGGAGAAAAATGACTTTAAATGAAAAAGCACTGATTTTTATTTTAAAGCAGTGCAGCCATAAGATCCAAGAGATATGTTTTGCCAAAATTCATAAAATTTATTTCATCCTATCCTGATTCCAAACTATTTTCTCACTCCAAAAACATACTTGTCTTTAATTTCTTTGAGCATAGATTGTTATTTTCTATTGCTCCTCTGTGTGTTGCAATAAAGTAGACTGATAATGAAAATGGAATAGGGCAAAGGGAAGTTGCATTGCTATCAGAACCTAGCTGGGATGGGCACTGAGTCTTTGTGTTTCCTATACACTAGGCTGTAATCAGTTTACAAACAAAATTAAAATAAAGCACATTTTTAAATGGTATAAAACTGGGCAGCAAGTACTAGGAAAGCCAAGTTTGGTAATCTCCACTAAAAACTTAATCAGCTTGTTTAGCAACTTTCTCTATTTTCTCAGTACTTTAAACCACCTTGTTTCCAAGAGAAACCATATTAATCTCTTCTATTTAATTGAACTGAATTTATATGTTTAATTAATGGTTACCGGAGCTACTAAGTACTGGACTGAAGTAGTGGCTGTAAAATTTTAACTGTTTCACCCTTCTCACTTCTTGTTGTACAGCTGAAAATTACTGTTAAGCCCACCTCAGGGCTTGAAGCAGGGAATAGGAAAACGTGATGGTTGGAGGGACTACCACCTATCTTCAGTCAGTCCCTTAGGGGAAAGGAAAAGAGGAGCTGAAAGGAAGCCATGGCTAAAATTCCACAATAAGGGTCATGCATTAAACTTTTGTAACTAAAATATGTGAGGATCTCAGAGTGATTAAAAAGAAGAATAAACTCTGTGTTGGCGATTTGCCCACTTAAGGATGTGCATTGCATATCTTGCATGCAGGCATGTGGTTAAGCTGTGCAAAGAAGAGGTAGTCTAGCCTCTGGACTACCATCTTTGAGCTGATGGGATCACATTATAATTCCCTCCCTTCAGCTTGTGTAAATAAAAACAAAGGTGAATGAAAGTATGCCATCCGTGGCTGTTCAGAGCATGTTCTGTGCTTTAGCGTCCATTCTGCTGATTTGGCATGTCAAGGTGTCAACATCACCTGATGCTGCAGGTCTCACAGCTTACAGCAAGTCTTGCTGACTTTTGAGGAGTCATCCACGTGTCCTTGATTGGGTTCAGTGTGGCCATAGGATCAGTGGTCATAGGAGAACTGACTGAATTAATGTGTCATGCTTTATGGTATCACTGGTGACTTTATGAAAAAAGGTGGATAAAGATGAAAAAAAAGAGGCAAAAATGCTCCCATGTCACTGTTAGCAATGAAGGAAATAAGGACAGAATGAAAAAGACCCACAGTTTGTAAAGCACACAATGTTTTTTTTCTGTATGTGTCATGATCTGAAAGGCACTTATGCATGTTCCAAACCTGCTGTACAAGTCATAGTTCAGATACAAATTTTTGAAAGGGAAGAAGAATTCAAGCAAATTTTCTCACATTTTTTTTTACCCAACCATTTCTTGTCACAAAATAATAAAAAAGAAGCTGTGGACATTATTCCCATAAGCTGTATCTACAAACAGTTCTGAGTCCTCATGCTCCCTTTGATTGCTTTTGCCTCTAGACATGTAATGCTCCTTTGACATTTCCAGAGTTGTGCTGATATCATCAAAGAAGCTGCAAGCTGATTCCCTGCAGAAATGCAAATATAAACCACCTGGTAATTCTGATCTCTATAAGAAAGACAGAAAACTGATATAATTGACTGATAAATGAAAATATAAGTAAATCAGCAGGTGACAAATTTAATCTTCAGGTTTAAGAAGTAATAATAGTCAATGGGTTGTAATAAAGTAAATACTACACTAAACCACTTGAATAGTGTATTGTCAACTGAGTTTACTTGGTGTAGATGTTTTCTTAACAGCATTATAAACATTTTTCCAGCTCTGGGTCAGATTCACAGCTATACTTTACCATCTGCAGTCATTCATGTGGATGGTCATTCATAAAGTGGATGTAAAACCTCACCTGATGGCTTTTCATGTCACTTTGCAGTAAAACAACACCATGAGGTGCAGAGTAATAGCGCAGAGGAGCTTGTACTGTATAATAGTGATTCTTGCAGCAATACTGTCAGTGAACTTCTGTTTCAGCACCCATATGATGCTATTACAATTCCCTTGGTTTTTAAAGAGTTTCCTTATTGCATCCTGTGCCTCTGAATCTAGTAGGGAGCAAATATGAGTGACAAATTTCAGTGCAGTGAATCTCATGTTTCCTAGGGGAGGTTCTCAAGGGACATAGAGCATACTGCAGTTATGGTGCCATATGGGCATGTCAGGGAGTATCTGTTCTTATTTCGCCCTTCCAGTGACATTGGGGGAGATTAAATCCTTTTCTAAAAGAAGCCTCGTGAAATGGTGAGCCCTACTGTTCTCTGAAGGAGCACGATTGCCATTCATTCCCTCGAGAGAGAGAAGAGATGGAAAACCACTGTAAGAGGACAGCCAAGATATACATTGAAGTTCAGAGCAGGAAAACTCATTCAAAGTGCAACATACAGTTCAGTGGTGTAGGAACATTTCCTTTCTATGGATCCTGTTTGTCTTTTCAAACAAAATACTACAGTTTTATTTTTGAAAACTGCTATGCAATTTCTAATCCTTTGCATTTCTATTTGATAAAGTAGTAGTATTCACAAACCCTCTGGTACTAGAAGGAAGCATTAGTCTTTAGCAGGGTAGAGGAAGGAACAGAAATTGCTGCACCGTTTGGCCAGATTTATGTCTAGCACTATGGAAGCACCAGCTGCAGAATTTTTAATACATTGCAAATTTTGATAAGTTAAACATCATCATCTCTATAAGATAGAAAAACATTGTTATTTTATGGCTCACAACTGCAGAGACATGCATAGAAAAGGGTTAACCACATGGCCAAGGGTACTCAGTAGCTCCAGAAGAGTGTCAGGGATGCAGCTGCATTCACTCCCATTCCCTGGTCTGCGTGTTAAGCACAGACTATTCCCTCCATCGTATTGTTGTGTACATCTCTGAGCCATCGTTTATTAGCCACTGCCAGAGCTGCAATGTTTCAGTAGAGGTGCCTACACTTGCTTTAGTATAATGGGTGCCATATATGGTCCTACATGTCTGTCACCAAATCTTAGCTCCTGCCTCACTTGAATTGCTGTCCTATAAACCCACACTAAACTGAAAGTCCCTCCATGCATACTTATTATTAAAAAATAAAGACACTGAAAGTATTCCTTTTAAAGACCTCTCCTTAAAGAAAATTTTATTGGATATGTTTGTTCTGTTCCCCCTTCCACACACACATTATTGTAGAAAAAGAAGAGAGACAATATTTCTGCTTTAAAGTAGTGCTTTACTAGTTTCACCTGGTTCTTCAGCTCTGTTTGTGACATGACTCAAGGTAGCTCTGGTTCTTACTGTGATGACTTCTCAGTGACCTTCCCAGTCCTTCAAATTTGAGTCCTTGCGTTTTCTAAAAGCAATGCTTATTTAGGTCTTCACCTTTCTTTTTGCACACTGCAGACTTATCCGGCATGACTACCAACTGCACTCAGAGGCTTTGCTAAAAAGAAAATGTAAATGTACTTACGCTGCTGGGGTATAAGAGTGGCAGAGGAAGCAGCAGAAGTGGAATGAGAACAACAAGCAAGAGATTTCTGGATCGGTGAATCTCCTTCATCATTGCCATACTCTTTTACTTTCTGGTGCCTTTCTTCTCCTTGGGTTTCTTCTCCAGTTCCTCAGACACTCCAACTTCCACTCCAGGTTTTCCTTCACCTGTGCCTGGATTTCCCTGAAAGGTCTTTCACTGCCTCATTTCCTATCCCCACCCAGTCACCTAAAATAATTAATTTGTTTATTCTTCAGTCTGTTGTTTTGAAAAGAAACCTTAATAATTTTTCAATTAAAAAGACATTCAGTTTAAGTAGGGCTCACCAGCACATCCAAATTATTATCACACCATAACATGCAGAGGTCTGCAAGTTGGAGCATAGTGATCTTTTGACAATTTTTCTTTTTAATTCAGAATCACAGGTGTAGCTGTGTTGCATTCTTATCCCCATGTTTTGGAAGGTGTTTTTCTTCCATCATCTAGCAATGTAATTCCTGTTTTCATTAACCAGGTGAGATATGTTTCAGGCTGCTTTTTTTCCTCCTGTTTGATAGTCTGAATGTCTCAAATACAGGTTTCTTTTTTTGCTGGAAAATTATTAAAACCAAAAATCTATTGTTCAGTGCACAGAAACAAACTTGCAGGTATTCCTTCTTAAAAAAAAAAAATTAAACCATCTGCAGCTCCTCCAGATTTTGTCCCTTTGCTATAGTTTCGGCTTCTGCTTTGTATCTACCTTTACCCTACTTTTGCCCTGAGCTTGGAATTCACAGGGCAGCAATTCCAACACAGATTATGCTTGGTCTCAAGATAAAAACTTGTTAAAAAACTTCATGCAACTCTAATTCACCAATGAGGACTGTGGAAGGTAGTAGTTGCTCCACCCATTAACCAAAACCCAGTCAGAACATTTGAGAAAATCAGCAGCCTCCTCTTTCTGACATGCACACAAACAGAAAAAAAGACCTTTTTTAGTTGCTGAACAGTCTGTTATTGTTTCAAGGTCCCAGTACTGATGATAAATAAATAATCATTGTTTTCTAGACAGTATCTTTTGTCTTTCATGTTTCTTCCATCCTGATCCATGAACATCACTTATTCATAAGGCACAGGCTGATCTCTGTACTGATTCATGTGCCCTCAGTAACAGTAGGATTCAGACTCAAATTGAGAATTTTCAGGCTTTCTACTCTAGCCTACTCTACTCCAGTGGAGAAACATTTCTACAACTCTGCCATTATTGATGCTTTTTGTGGGGCAGAAAGCACTGGAGATTTAGGACTGAATCCATTGGCTGGTTGCATGCACAACCTGTAGATGGACATCCATTTCCCCTGTATCTCATAGGAAGCCACACACCTAGGATTTTCTATGCTCCCAAACCTTGCTTGCCTATCGTCTCCCCGCACGCTGCTAGTCAGACACAAACTGAGCTCCCCAGACTGGACTGGGATGCCTCTGTGACACTGAGTCCTGGAGAACTGGCAGAGGCAGACCTGCAGAGGAGTTTGATGCGCAGGGTGAATTCTTCCGGAAATTAGTATTTGTACCTAAGACTGTGTAATGTTTCTATACATTGAAACTTCCATCAAGCAACAGAACCTTGATACCCTTCAGGCAAATTTAGCAATTAGTCCTGGAAGCAAAAATATAGTTAATGTGAAGATTTGGGGCTGGCCAATACATCCAGGGAATTTATATCTGTTTTGTCAGTTGTTTCAGAGAAACTAAAAGAATGTCTAAAATAGTAAAAAAATTTAAAAATGTTTTATTTTAAATGAAAAAAAATCTAAGTTTTATTTCACTTTTTTATGATCTGTAAGGTCAAAGGGTGGATAAAAGGTGCCATTTAGAGGCAATGGCTCTTCCACCCTGTGAGAGAAGGACTGTCTATAAACATGACTCAGTCTGAAGTGATGAGATGCAAACTGAGCTAGGGAGCAGGTCAACCTAGCCTGCATCTTAAGCAATACTGAGGGAGGGAAGCTGCCCTAAGCCCAAAGAGCTGCCCTGAGGCAGAGTGCTCCTTCCCACTTAAACTCTGGAAAAAGGAGGCACTCTCATTCCTATTTATTGCCTCCTCCTGCCGGTCAGAGGGAAGGGCTGTTCCCTCTTTACTGTACCATTGCTCCCATGAAGAGCTGTGCAGTCCGAGATAACCAATTACTCAAGCTGCAAGTTGCTAAATAGTAAATCTGCTGCTGAAATCAATACAATGCGAAACCAATTAGGTTTATGTAGAATATTTTTATTAACTGCATTGACAGTCTCTGTTAAATTAACCTGGGCAGTCCAAGCACATTCCCAAGGAATAAATCTTTTTCCTGCACTACGCACAGTAATGGGAGGAGGGAAACAAACTCAGAAAAGCTTATTTTCTGTTGAGGAGATAAAGGTTTAAATTACCAATTTGTAAGGTACAGCAAGGTATGTATGCCATAGGGAATGATCGGATATTCAAAATTATCTGTAATTCTTTTCTATGGGATACTTACTGATGAGTAGACTCTGACTGCTGGACAGTTCTGTTGTGGGGTGAGGAGAGTGGCTGGGAGGTATTTCTCTGGATGGTGACTGCTAGCAATTAATACTTACTGTGGTGCTCGCTCTTGTTATCTTTGCAGACTTGAAGTCACTGGCTGTGAGGGATTTATGAATTGCCCTGGTTCCAGGCTCTTCCGGCAAGTGGTGCTTCAGGGAGCCAAGAAGCAGACCTGGAAAGGCAGGAGTGCGATCCATGGCATTTCCCCTCCATGTGTTTATAAAGCATGGTGTGGGAAGAAAACACAAACAGATCATCAGTGTTTAGGCTGAAGGCTTAAAGGGCATGTGGGCTGTAGCGCAAAGCTGCTTTGTGGGCACTGAGCTGTGTGTGCAAGTAGAGGAGACAGAGATACTTGTGGCTCATAGCTTTGTGGTTGAGGTTTTCAGTTTCCTTTGCCATATGCTAGCCAGGCTTTGAAGATGGCTAACATAGATCTTCAGGTATAAAAGTGCACCTACACATATGTGCATCTAAACGCAAACATGCACACTCATGCATACACATACACGTACACGTACACAGAAACTGCTGGGAGAAACAGGACTGCCTCTGTCTTTTATAAGCCCTTTGTCCAGCTGCTTATGCCATCGCTAGCCTGCCCCTAAGGCTGCTGTGGTTCCACATCCCCACGGGTGATTGCTAAATCCAGTGTGCCCTGACTGCTTGCACTATGTGCTGTTTGCTGCAACAAGGTGGTGCTGAATGGATTTTTTCAGCTCCAGTCCTTGGAGTATCCCTGTTAAGGGACACAGAATAGTTCATTCCTTTTGCTCAAGTGATGCAAAAGCAGTTAAACATGATTCAGAACTGGGGCTGGAATCCTCAATTCTCTTTTACAGCCTCTGGGATTTGTGATTTGGGCCTGTCTCCTTAAGATATTATGCGAATAGAGAGATAGAGAGTGCTGGTATGAAAGGATGAAATAAATGTTTAGCTGTTTTCCCATGCTCTGGAAGTAGAAGCACCTCTAATATCAATACAGAAACAGAGTTCGTATAACTTGTTCACAAAAATTAGGGGATTTGCTTTAGAAGAGTTTGGATTTTTCATTGCTAGTCATCTGTCTGACAAGATATATCTCCTTTTTCTGTCCATTTTCTGTCCATTATTTTTTTGCAGTTTGTAATAATCAGTTGCACTATTTCTACAAACAGTTTTTGATGTAAACAAGTACTGCTTTTCCACTGCTCCCAAATTCATAATTCCCACCACTGGATTGGTGAACGACCTTTTCTGCTAAGTGGTCAGATGCAATTGTTCCCTGACTGAACAATTTAGGATTCTTCCATGCACTCAGCACTTATGTGCACACACATGCATGAACATACACACATATATACGCAAGTGAACATATAATTTACCATCAAAAATGAGCCACACTGCTAAATTCAGCACCAGGTATGTTTTAATGCACCTTTCTCCCTTGCCTCAGGGGGATTCTGAAGCACGGGTTTAGATGACCTACGTTCAAGTGATAGAACCAGGAAAAATGTGTCATCGTTAAATTAAACAGGGCCTTTGTCTTGTCTTTGACTCAGCTGAGGACAAAGCCATGTTCCCTTCAAAAAACAAGGAGCAGAAGCAAAGTCATGTGCAAATAATGAAAGAATCATTACAGACTGTTTGGGAGGGTGGCTCTAGGAAGCAGGGAATATGTTCACAGGCATTGTTTGCTGCTGGTGTTCACAATGCCCTTTCTCTTCTGCAAACATTATTGCAATTAAACACTGGCTTAGCCAAATGAAGTGAATCAGACAGTGCTTATTTACAAGAATATTTGGAATGAATAATATTTGACATAATTTCTGAAGGCTGACAATTATGAAACCTCTTCCTTTTACAGAGGGTCTTTGCATCTCTTTATAATATTCTTTTACTGGCCAGCCAAAACATGAACTTGTTTCCTCAGCTAGGAAAGCAGGATTCTCCAGCACATACACACAGGTATGTGAGCATAAGCATAGTATACTTATGTATTTCTTATAGGAAACCACAGGATGAAACAAAGGCATGTCTATCTGGGGTGTACACCAGACTCCCTTCTTTGCTTGTCACAGAATGTGCCTCCAAGCCAGCACAAAAATCTAATTCCTAGGGCTGAAGATAACATTTTTCCCTATTTAACATGGAACTATAAAGTGGATTCCACAAGAGGGAGCTAGAAAACAAATAATCTTTCATGAAGCAGGCTATTAAACTCTTTACAGAATAAAGTGGAGGACGTGCTACATGTGTCCCGTATCAGCCAGAAGAGGTGGCTGAGTTACCATTGCATCGTCTCTCACTGTGATGACTCTTCGTTGTACGGGAACATCAAGTCATGCTTCAGGGCTTTGTAAAGATTGACAAAGGATTCAGCCCAAGTGTCTTTCTGGTGCCCCTGGGACTGAGCAGCCCTGTAGGCCGTGTAGACCATGGTCAGCACCGTCCTTTCAAAGTCTTCTTTCTTGAGGACCGTTGGGTAGGAAGACAACCTGCTAGTCAGCCTGCGGATTTCTGTGATGCTCTTGGGGATAATCTCATTGCAGATGGTGTCAAACTCGGCAGCCTTCCTCAGTGAAGCGAGCTCCTCATCTTTGATGGAGATCCTCTGACCCTTGTCAATGTCAAGCTCAGCTAAAAGAAACTGGTACAAAATCAGAACACAGAAAGCTATTTATCTTCTCCAAGAGACTCTGGGCAGAGTATAAGTGAACTAACAACATGTCCTTAGATCTTTACTTTAGGTCAAATGGAGACAAACCTGTCATTGCACTAGCTGGAAGTGGGGCAGATCAGAAAGTATCTGTGTGAACATAGGACTCCTGTGTTACCTACCTGAAAAAATTAGAGACAGGCTGTGGGGAAAAGAGAGAGGAAAAAGAAAAAGCAGGTAGTCTTCTATTGTCCAAAACAGGCATGGGTTGCTGCTGGTGCCACATGAGGATTGGAGATGTGGAGACAGCAGCACAGCTCGGAAAGGCCATTTGCCCTGCCAGGGATAGCAGTGGTGGCCTAGCTCTGCGTGAGAGAGCACAGCTTCCCAGCCCATCTCCCCTGTTTGGTCATCCAATCCCAGTTTCTGAAGGTGTGGGACAGATAGATTTGACCCATGCACCTTCTTCAGGTGGGCCACTTTCCCTTAGCTAACCATGTGACACTGTCCCAAACTGTGCATTACATCTGCAGTCTCCACTGCTGTGAAAAAGGGGACCTGAATCATTCTGAAGTGAAACAGTCATGCCCTTGGGATTACTTTGCAATGACTGATACTTGTGGCTTTAATGATTTGAACAAATAATTTGGGACTGAGACTCAGACCAAAGAATTTAAATGCATTGTGTTGTTAATACGTAACTGTTCTGGAAGAAAGTTGCTTTCAGTGGAAAGCCATTTGCTGTCATTTTCACTTTGCCTGTCAATGAGCTAGAACCCACATTTGAGGTACTGCAGGCAACTGTTGCCTGCTTAAGTGCTGAAAGCAAATATATATGACGAGTTTGTCATATATATGTCTGTTCCCTCCGTTCTGGTGAGCTATTACATAGCAATGGGTTTACTGCTGAGATGAGTAAAAGTGACTTGAAGACCGATAATAGATAACCCCAGTGTAGACAGTAATCCCAGTGTTGGTTAGGGCTTAAGGTACCATCTGCATATACTGAACCTCATAAAGCAGGACCACATCTTCCAGCGAGTTTTGTAGCACTGGGTTAAGGAAGGCAGCTGAGGACCTCTTGAATCGCTGAGCAGCTGGGAAAAGCATAGCTGGAAAATAACAATGGGAAAAGAGAGGTTCCATAGGGTGGCAAACACTGAAAAGAAGAAACACTTTTCAATAGTAGATTCAACCAAAGAACTGCCTGTTGCAAAGACTTACTGTACAGTATGACTTCTCACTGTAAATAAAATGGGTGGCATGGACTGCTTTGACCATAATCTACTAGGGATGGAGGTCAGCTGTTTGTCCTGTATCTATACAGTGTCTAACACAGAGTGGTTTATAATCCAAGCATGGGACTCTGAGGTGCAGACACAGTGTAAGGAATAATAATGGTAACAGCAACATCAACACTGCATGAAATACATGTTCTTCTCCTGGCTCTGCAAGGGGAAATCAATACTGACCATCAACACAGCCTATTTTCTTCAGGCCATTCTCCTATGGACACACTTCTAAGACCCTACATTTTCCCTGGTTTCAGCTGTCTAAAAGTTGATGTCTCCTTAGTTGTTAGAGACAGCTCCTCCAGAGAGTAGATCACCTCATCTGTCCTGGGCATATATGTCTGGAAGGAGTGACTCACCCTTTGGAGATGCCTATGTCTATTCATTGAGCCTGTTACCGGCTTAGACAAGACAGCTACATTCAATGAGGTGAATCCCAATTTATTATGACTTTATTACTTCACAGTGTTATAGCTAGAAACAACAGTGTCTGCTATGATCAGGTATTTATTCACCACTGTGAAGTGTACTACAGATATTGTCTCAGGGAAGTGAGACGGAAAACATATGTATAGCCCCTGAACTCCGTACCCCAGTAAGGTAGGGCATTTGTGGAATCATTGACCTGTACAGTACCGAGTACAGAAAACATCTGATGCTACGTTACAGACCACCTAAATGCTTTGAGTTACTAACTAGGTTACTACCCAGGTAACTAGGTACTATTAAAAGGTGTCAGTTCCTTTCAGAAGAGAGGGAGAAAACCCTGTTTTGTTTAATATTATGTGTCTATGATTTAGATGTTGATGTTTAGGTAACCATAGTTTGGATTTGTTGGATTTTTTCTAATACTCAGGAACAGAAAGTTTTTTTTAAAGATGTGCTTCTGTGACTATCGGTGCATTTCCTCATAAACTTCTCTTCTCAACTTTTAACTGTTGTTTACCAATAGATAAATTTGGAAAGCAATTAAAAAAAGGAAAAAAAAACCACCTTTTGAAAGGCATAGACTCTGTAGCCTAAATGCAGTCCTGTTTCCTGGGCCGTTGCCAACTGTTGACTGTTAAAGTTTGACTTCTTAATGATATTTAAGTTCAAGTAGTGCAAGGAGAAAGAAACCAGGCCCTCAGAGATTGTGTTAATTAGGACCTTTACTATCTAGTATAAGAAAAATTAATTGGGATAATACTAGGTATGAAGTAATTCATGCTTGACACAGCAAAGGGTATTTTGGCCTTGAATTAACTGGGGAGTATAGTATAGGTAAAATAGTTTGTTGAATTGCAATAAACATACTGCAGCTGGATACTACTAACTGTAAATGCGTCTTGCAGGGATGAGTTTCAGGCATTTTGGTAAGACACCTACAGAGCTAGGTGGTTCCTATTGGATCCATGTGAGTTTAGGTTAAAACTTGTTTAAATAACCAAATAGTACTTGCAGGGTATGTGACTAAAAGCCTGAAGGAATGAATGCACCAAGTAAAAGAACAGAGGTGTTGAAAAGGACTTGGGCTCTGCAGTAGCCTTTCCCCAGCATGATGCCTTTACGACCCAACCATCTTGTCTGGCCCAGCTGAGGAGGTGGTGAGTTTGGGAAAGGTCACCAGCTGCCTGCAGGTTCTGCTCTGAGAGAGTGTTTGCTTGGCTCACCACTGGTAACTGGGGCTATACCCTTTTTCTGCCGCTGCTCTGTCACTGATGTTCACCCCTCTTGCTCAGAGCTTTGCTGAGACACACTGGAGCTATTCCGTCTTTTGCTCTTGGCAATTCAAGAATGCAACTGAGTGCATGTGAAGCACTTGAAACTTCAAGCACTAATTGCTGAGTAATTAAAATTTTTATTACTGGACAATTAAAACTCTAATTACTAAGCAGCTGGCAGAAATCCAGTCCATAATGATGACAATTCATTTTTATCTCTTTTAGATGCCCTTTCAGTGGAAACAGCTGCAGAGTGCAGAGTACATCTACATATGCAGGTGATTTACATCTCAGGTATTCCCTGAGCCATGGAAAAGGTGTCTATGGCATCTTGCTTCAGTGCTGTCATGCTTATTGTCATCACACTGATCGCTTTTAGTTTTCAGGCCAAGTTCAGATTCCTACCACCGAGCTGAGCTAGGAGTCATCAGATTCAGCCCATCACCACTCACCCAGAAAACCCCCAGTGAAGGACTCGCACATCTAGCTTGGAGGTTAAGTTGGCCTACACCCTGTGTCAAAACTGCTTCCATAAAGAAAAAAAGGTCATTGTCATAGGAGACTCCCTTCTGAAGGGAACAGAAGGTCCAATATGCAGACCGGACCCACTTCTTAGGGAAGCCTGCTGCCTCCCTGGGGCCCAGGTTAACCATGTGAAGAGAAAGCTTCCTACCCTGGTACAGCCCTCAGATTACTATCCATTATTGATTTTTCAGGTAGGCAGCAATGAAGTTGCAACAAGAAGTCCGAGGGCAATCAAGAGAGACTTCAGGGCCTTGGGACAACTGGTTAAAGGATCAGGAGCACAAGTAGTGTTCTCCTCTGTCCTTCCAGTTGCAGGGAATGATGAGGGAAGAAACAGGAAAAGCCAGCAGATCAATACTTGCCTCCGAGCCTGGTGTCACAGGCAGAATTTGGGGGTTTTTGATCATAGGTCAGTCTACACAACACCAGACCTGCTGATGACAGACAGGGTACACCTGTCTCAAAGGGGGAAAAGGAGCTTTGCACAGGAGTTAGCAGGGCTCATTGAAAGAGCTTTAAACTAGATTCGAAGGGGGAAAGGGAGAAAACCAGCCTCACTAGAGATAAGCCTGGGGGCGGCACGCCAATGTTTGAGGGACGGTGTGCTAGCGAGGT